ACATGACTGGGAGAAAGGAAGAGCTAAGAGAGTTTCGTGCATGAAAAATGGTGGAAATGTAAAGTATGGTAACAATTCGTTTGGAACGATCTAAGGCTATGGGATGATTACAAATGACGATTTCTCAATATGAAAGATGGCTTATGTGGACGGACTACAACACAACCTAATCAGTGTTTCTCAATTAGTTGTGGGAATAGGCTTGAAAGTAATATTTAATAACGAAGGTTCTGAGATTGTAGAGAAGGAAACGAAAGCAGTTCTTTTAAAGTATCGTAGGAAAGGTGAAATGTATCCCCCGAATTTGAACCCGATAAGAGGAAAGCCAACAATCTACCTACTAACGAAAGCTCATTTTGATGATAGTTGGCTATGGAACAAACGACTTTTGCACATAAATTTCAATGATATCAACAAGCTCGTGCTTGGTGATCACGTGTGAGGGCTTCCTCTTTTGAATTTCGATAAGGATAGTTTATGTGCAGCGTGCGAAATGTGGAAGCAAATTAGGAAAATCCATCCAACTCGAGTAAACACGAATATCATTAAACCTTTAGAACTACTACACATAGACCTTTGTGGACCTTCTGGAATCAAAAGTGTTAGTGGTAGTAAATATATTCTTATTATAATTGATGATTTTTCACGTTTCACTTGGGTGTTCTTTCATAAACAGTAATCTAAGGCAACTCCTACACTCAATAGTTTTAAAAAGAAAGTTGAGCTTCAGCTGCAAAAGCTGGTTCGCAATATTCGTAGCGATAAGGGGATGGAATTTAAAAATCAAGACTTCAAAGAATTTATTGTTAATAAAGGAGTCACATACAATTTTTCGACTCCTTATACCCCACAATAGAATGGCGTAGTTGAAAGAAGAAACCTTTCTTTGCGCGAAGCTTCTCAAACAATGCTTACTTGCGCTTCGCTACCTCTATATTTCTGGGCTGATGCTATTGCAACTGCATGCTTTACCCAAAATAGATCCTTTCTGAACAAGCGATTCCCTCTTACTTCATATGAAATTATTAACAATCGCAAATCTAATGTAAAGTTTTTCCATGTTTTTGGTTCCAGGTGTTTCATCTTCAATTCTAAGGAAAACCGGAACAAATTTGCTGCGAAAGCTGATGAACGTATATTTTTGGGGTATTCACTGAATTCCAAGGAATTTAGGGTTCTCAACAAATGATCAAAGAAGATAGAGGAGACCTACTATGTCACATTTGATGATAACTATTTGAAGAAGATTCAGCAAAACGAAAGCCTATCGGAGGAGATCTTTCCAAATCAAAGTCTAGTAACGGTTCCTATCTCAACTCTACATGATGAGTTTATGCTTCTCTTTGATGAACCAGAAAAGGCGATTTCCTGTAAATATAAAGAAGCAAACAATGAAGAGGATGAATTCAATAAAATCATCGATGATGCTGTGAATGATATAGAAAACAAACCTCTTAGCTCAAACAAACCTCCCAGTTCGAGCGAAACAACAAAAGAACACACACCATTGGAGGGGGAGGGTTTGTCTTCGTCTTCTACACCTAAAGTACCTTTTGAGGGGGAGCATCCATCTCCAAGAATTACCCACAAACATCCAGCTGAGGGGGAGCTCTCTGAACCTAAAGGTAAAGATTAATCATCATTCTAGGGGGAGAGTAAAGAATCAAATGATGATTTGGATGTACAGTCTGAATTTGAAGAAGTAAATGTTGAACTGGAACCTTCTTCTGATCCAAATTATCCTCCACCGAAAAAAGGGACCAAAGATCACCCAAAAGCTCAAGTCATAGGTGAATCTTCTGCAAGTTTCCTCACACGATCTCAGATAAAAGGGAAGCAAAATGCGTTATTCTATAATGTGGAATTTTGTATGTTTAACTCATTTGTTTCTAAGGTAGAACCTAAAACTGTCAACAAGGCTCTCGATCATTCTGATTCGGTGCCAGCAATGCAAGACGAACTCAATAAGTTTAAGCGAAACAAGGTCTGGAGATTAATACTAACTCCACCAGATGCATAAGATATTTGTTTAAAATGGGTGTTTTGCAATAAGGTGGATACAGAAGGAAAAGTGATAAGAAATAAAGCAAGACTAGTAGTCAAGGGATATTGTCAGGAAGAACGAATCAACTATGAAGAAACTTTTGCTCCCATTGCAAGGTTAGAATCTGTTCGCATCTTTCAAGCATATGCAGCACAAAGAATTTTGAGGTGTTTCAAATAGATGTCTAGTGTGCTTTCTTTAATGGAAAACTAGAAGAGATTGTATACATGGAGCAACCACCTAGGTTAGTCTCCTTTTGATCACTTAATTAATTCCAAATTAACTCTTGATCAATAATAATTAAATAATATTATTAATATATTAGAACTTATAATATATTAATAAACCTTAAGTGTTATTTATCTCATTTTAGTCTATCCAAATGCATGATGCCATGCAGCCCAAATGGACCATGTCAAACCGGGTCAAGTACATACCAGAAATAGTTATGGACTTAGACACCTTATCCAACAGTATTTTGCGAAACTCACTAAGCTTTACGCTTACCGTGTTATGTGTTATGTGTTTCAGGTAGTTCCGAGGATCGCAAAAAGGCACTGGTATGATTGTACACACTGGCGGAAGATTGTTTTTATGGTTCTGGGATTTTGTTTTATTTGTTAACATTTGAGACATATGTGAATTTGAGAAATAAAAAATGAGTTATATTGTGTTTTTAAAATGAGAGAAATTGTTGAAAATTTTCATCGTTACATAACAGCTAGTAGACTAGATATTATGTTTTCCATTTGTTATTATGCTAGGTTCCAAGCCAATCCTCACGAACCTCACATGGTGGCTGTCAAGAACATATTCAGATACCTAAAACAAACTTCATCTCTTTGAATATGGTATCCAGCTAACTCAAGTTTTTTCATGCAAGCATTTTTAGATGCTGAATTTGGGGGATGCGGTTTAGATAGAAAAAACCACAACTGGTGGATGCTTATTTCTTGATGGTAAACTAGTTAGTTGGCAATACATGAAACAAACGTGTGTTTCGTTGTCAATAGTTGATGCTGAATACATAGTTGCAGCTTTGTGCACATCCCATGTCATTTGGATTAAAAGTCAGCTTCGTGACTATGGCTTACGTATGAAATGAATCCCACTTTATTGTGACTCTAAAAGTGTAATTCGCATTTGTCAAAACCCAGTGCAACACTCCAAGATGAAACATATAGCACTGAGGTATCACTTCATCAACGATCACATGGAAGATGGAAACGTTGAGATACATTTCATAAGATCCGCTGATCAGTTGGCTGGAATTTTCACTAAGGCCCTTCCTGAAACAACTTTTAATAGAATACTTCAAGGGTTAGTAATGATGGAAGCTGAATCTGTTCCGAAACCATCTTCACTTCCATGAGAATCACCTTCGTTTTCTCCTTGTAAGTATTTGTAAAGAAAAATAAGGCAAACACTCACTTTATTTCGTTTCCGTTTAACTCAGGACACGAAATGGACCGAACTCTCGCTCGAATTCACTTCACTCATTCTCTATAAGCGAACGCTCGGTTATCTAATCAACTTTCTTGTTGGTTTGGAACTCCTATTTCCTTTTTGTACATTATGTATACTATTTTGTTAAACATATCTTAAATTTCTGTTTTAATTTCTTTTTCAAAAAAATCAAAATCCAAAAATATTTTTACTTTTCTTTCTGTTTATTTTAATTCTTTTCAGCAAGATAAAAATAACAAAAATATTTTCCTTTGTGTTTAGTTTTATTTCTTTTTCAAAAATTTAAAATGCCAAAAATAGATAATAGCGAAACTCATGACAACACATATCCATAGTTACTCTAATTTGCTTCATGGGGCAGGTATAAACTTCATTATCTTTGTATTAGCTAAGTGTCCCTAGAAGCATGGTGTTGTATGTTGTCTGAAGCCTCACTCGAATCTATGTGAAGCCTTAATGAATCGAATCTACCATTCATTTCTTTCCAATTAGGCTGATAAATTCACATTAGTCACGAGCCACCTTACTCTTCTCACAATGAGTTAAGAGTTATCTGCTTAGTCACTCTAACAAAACAGAGGTACATTCACTTCCTCTAGAACTACCTCACAATTTCTCCATTAAATCCGTTTTCATCAATGTAACCCTTGAGACTCTCAACATTTAACACTGAGGTTTATGGTTACACAACATCTGTGTTGATGATCTTAGTTTTATTTCACCACATGCTAAGTGAGATGCAAAATCCAACACCATAAAGAATTGACGGTGACCCATTGAAAGTTCTTGCTTTTCACCCACGAATTAACGAATACCATTTTTGTGGTTTTTACCATGAAATCTATTTTATTTTTGCGAGATCTTTATGAAGTGTTATATTACCAAGACGTTTCTTCCCAAAAGATCAAGTTTCATTTTGTTTTTGAGATTTCTATTATATTCACCATTACTTCCAAATATCCCAACCTACTTGATGTTTTAGGCAACATTGGACACACAAATACTTCACCCAATTTTCAAAGTTATGTCAAGTTTCGTAATTTGGTTGAAGTGAAAGCCACCCTTACAGCCGAAATTAAAAGATTCCTTTCAATGTTTCTTGACAAACAATTGATCGTACTTCAACGGGAAACCATATAAGCACTTCTTAGTCTCTCTTGACTTTGAGGGAAGCGATTTGTGCCCGGGATCCACAGTTACTGGGTTGGACTGTGCCAGAAAATTGTTTATGACAATCCTTTATGGTCTCTACCATGGATTATGGATCGATATTGTGGTATCAATTACTGCAGAGCATGGATTCATCTTCTCGACACACCGAAATTTCTTATGGTTGTTTTTGGACCTTGGTGGAGTACAGGTCTCTTCAGAATATTAATGTTCAAATCATGGTAGATTCTTTGATGGTTTAATCGCCACATTCTACATGACGAAAATCATTATTGCAGAGAACTCTAAATTTTCCTTTATTGGATCAATACCTAAGTCGATGTATCAAAGTGTGTCTAGGGCGAGTAAAATTTTGAAGTACTATAAGACGAAACCAGTTTCGGGTCCTAGAGTGATAACTCCTGAAATTCAAAAGTCCTTGGATGAAGCTGATACTCTAAAGAAAAGAGGTAAGAAGGGAGATAAATTGAAAAAGGGAAAAGATGGTCCATATTCTCAAGCCCTTACTCCTAAGAAGCATAAGGGTACATGTGCTAACCCTTCAGCTCCCAAGAAGCAAAAGCTCAAGAAGATGGCAATGACCCCTCCTTCTTCCCCAAGCGATAGTGATTACGCTACTTCTAATACGGAGGTTGTCGAGAAAAGCGACAATGAAGACTCCCAAATTGATGATTCGATCCACGGTCATTCACCTCTATCAACACCAAACCAATCGGTAAATCTTGATGCTAAAATTCCATCTCCAACTCATTCTCCTACTCATACCACTACTCCAGTTACTATCGCTCCATGTCTACCTCCAGTTTCCACCCAACCACCCACTTGTATTTCACAGCAAAACCTAATTTTTCTAAATCTACTACTACCACCACTACAGCCGGACCTAATGTTGATGCCAATGAATCTGATGCAGGGGCAAAGACATCAGGTTTTACCACTTCCACTACAACTCCCGTTTCTCCTCAACATCATGGATCAGAGGACTTTTTTTGGAATAGCAAGATTTGATTTTGACATATTTCATTACAGTCCTTTCTCTATTCAAGATGATAGTTACGAAGATTCCCTATCACTCAGAAGGATTTGGAAGCCCTAAATGCGAAACTAGATACTATCCTTGCCTCTTCGACTACTTCTTCCAGCCAAGCTTACTCTGAAGCCGTTGTAAAGGGTATGCTTGCCACTTTAGTTAAGGAACATGATGCCAATCTTGTTAAAGCCAAAAAAGTAGTTGAGGATTCTGCTCATTCTTGTCTGCAAGCGACCGAAAAGGTCGATAAACTAATCTCTGACACGAAAGCTTTTATAATAGATATCAACACAGCTGTAGCGAAAAATGCTCCAAATGTGAATGATGCAATCGTCAACCTCAATGCTTCGCTTCGTAAAGAATGTGAGTCTATTGAGAAGCTACAGGCTGATATTTCTGCTGACAACTCTGCTTTTCAGACATGTATCTCTTCAAGCCTTTCTAAATTTCAAGAAGATTTAGATGTTGAAAGCAAATTCATGGTCGAACTTGCACTCCGCGCCACTCAACTGAAGACTCAAGAAATTAAGCTCAAGCATGCGCAAAAAGAGATAGACGAACTCAAATATGAGCGAACAGTTAAGAAAAGTTGTGTGAGTGATGTCAACTCGTTGTTATCCAATCTCGTCGAAGCTTGTGACCCAATCTTGGCCATCACTATTAGATGGCACCTTGCTGACAAGCTTTGCCCTGCTATCGCTTTGTTGAACAGGCTAGAGAGTGTTCTAGAGGCCCCTGTCCCTCCAGAACATGGGGAGATTGTAAAAATGTTAAGGCAGGGGAGAAAATAAAGACTAATAAAGGAAAGAAACCAATGGGTGATGATGAAAAAGATGATGAATCTGAAAAGGATCAGTTAAAACAAAGGCTCGTGATCTAGAACTGAATGAAAATGCTCGCATAGCGAGGGAAGATGAAGAGAAAGAGCTAAAGGGGAAAGAAGATGATGATACATTGGAATGTAGAAAACTATTGTTTCCTATGTGGACGTTAGAGCGGATGATGCATGAAGTTGTTGATCTTCCTAGTGTGCACTGGTTGGAACCGGTTGCTTCTTTTGATCTGGATAACACGAAGGACTCCCAGTTTGATATGCCGTTTACAAGAAGAGCCTTCATGTTTCACTATTTCGATACAATAGCCGAAGTTTCCTCTCCAGATATCAAAGTAGACAAAGCCCTCATTGATTTTTATCTCGCTTTTGGTATACTGCAATACTTAACCTGGAGTGCCCAGAAAATCACAACAGTAAAAGTCATAGGACCCATTGCTATTGTCGGTTTCATGAACGTCAAATTCAAAGTGACGAGGGGTTCAGAAAATTCCCTGCATTAATTTTCACTTGCAGATTTGCCGAATCTCACCCGCATGACTGGATTTTACTGCTCAATCTTCTGGTAACCGAAGGGCATAAATACGAACCTATCATTGCTCATCTGAAGAGAATGTTGTTTTCATACGTCTATGAAGTAGCGAAACTCGATATTGAGATTGTCCAGGTTATGAAGCGAAAGCCTACTATTAATCCAATCGACAATGCCAACGATATGAGCGAAATGAGTATGGGAAAAATTGACACAACTCACTTAACTGTCCTGTTTCATGGAGGGACTGAAGTTGTTGGAACTTTTCAAAAATGTCTTTTTGCCCTACCTGACAAGCATCTGTTTTCCACGACTTGCTTGGAACATGTTTTGGAGATTATCAACAAGTGCAACTTGAGTGATGATGATGCAAATAGGCATTTTAAAGACATGATTCGCTGGTACATGTTGTTTTGCTGCACTTTGCTTGTTGTGATTCACAAGCTCTTCAGGATAATCAATAAGACACAGCAGTGAAGCATCTCTTGCCTCTATTGATGCAAAGGGGGAGGTTGTTGGGAATACTGGATCGTATCATTGGTATATTTTGTGTATGTCCATTATGTACTCGATTTGGGCCTGTCCAACGGTATTTACTATTAGGGTTATAGTATTTATAGTGCATGCATGCACCGTAGTTGATAACTGTTGATTGATCTTTTCTTGTAATCCTAGCATACCTCTACGGTAGTAATTCTTTATAGAGTTCTTCTGAGGCTGTGTCTTTTAATCATTCGAAACCAATTGATACATCTTGTATTCTTTTTTTCATATGGTGCTATTTATTTACTTATTAGAATCTAATTGATCTAAGAGGCTTTCATTCCTAACATAACTATCTGGGCTGCCTGCTCTGTGGAGGATATGATTAAGGGGAGAGCTGCCAACAAGGTTATGGTTGGCAAGAAGAAGAAGTTCAAGGGGTCTGCAAGGACCAAAAATAAGAAAATCAAGTCTGGTTTAACAAAGTTTGGAGGAGGAAATGAAGCGAAGTGGTTCGAGTAGTGCAATAAGAAGCACTTCGGGAAGTGTAGCGAGGAAGTGACCTTCTACAAGTGTAGGAAGACAACGCATTATGCCAACGAGTGCACCGCCAACAAAAGGGTGTGCTATGGATGTAATAAGGAAGGGCACATTACGAAGGATTGCCTAAAGAATAATGAGATGACAAGGCCTAATATTCCACTGAAGCCAAAGGTGTGAGCCTTCCAGATGACGCTAGAGGATGCAAAGGAGGCAGCAGATTTCGTTTCAGGTACCTTTCTTGTAAATAGTTTGCCTGCCAGTATACTGTTTGATTTCGAAGCAAATTACTCCTTTGTATCACATAGATTTGGTGGGAAACTAGCATTGTCTGCAGAAAAACTTGATAATTCCTTAGTTATGGAAGTTTCAAGTGGCAAATTCATATTTGTTAGCGATCATATTATGAATATTGTCATCAAATTAAATGGAAACGAATTTCGTGAAGAATTGTTACCCATAGGATTGAACGGTTTCGACATCATTCTAGGAATGGATTGGCTTAGTGCCAACGATGTTGAGATACTTTGCAGGAAGAAGATAGTGAGGGTAGACCCACCCAGAAAAGACTCATTTATGGTGTACGGGGACAAACGCAGAGTAAATTCTGGAATCATCCACCTGATGAAAGCCAGTAAATGTTTGTCTAAGGGATGTGCATCATATTTGGCATTTGTGATTGATGCTAAGAAGAAAAAGAAGGAGGTGCAGAATATATCAGTGGTGTGTGACCATCCATAAGTCTTTCCCGAAGATCTTACTGGATTACCGCCTGATAGACAAGTGGAGTTTTGGATACACTTGTTACGAGGAACTACACCGATAGCAAAAGCACCATACTAATTAGCATCGACGGAGATGAAGGAGCTTATGACTAAACTTCAATAGCATTTGGACAACAGTTTTATTAGACCTAGTTTATCACCATGGGGAGCTCTGATGTTATTCATGAAGAAGAAGGGAGGAAGCATGAGAATGTGTATAAACTACAGAGACCTGAACAAGGAAACAGTAAAGAATAAGTACCCATTTCCGAGGATTGATGACCTATTCGATCAGCTGCAAGGTTTGAGCTATTTCACAAAGATCGATCTTAGATTAGGATATAATCAGCTGAAAGTAAGAGAGTGGGATATTGATAAAATTACAATCAGAATGAGATATGGACACTACAAGTTCTTGGTTATTGCATGTGGACTAACTAATGTTCCAACAACATTCATGTATTTGATGAATAAGGTTTGGAAACCATTCCTCGATAAATATGTGATAGTATTCATAGATTACATTCTGATTTACTCGAAAATCCAGGAGGGGCTTGGCAGGCACTTGCGAGAAGTGGTAGAAGTATTGAAGAAGGAGAAGTTGTATGCACAGTTCTCCAAATGTGATTTTTGGATCCGAGAAGTCCAATTCTTGGGTCATGTGGTTAACCAACAAGGAATAATGGTTGACCCAGCAAAGATCGAAGTTGTGATGAAGTGGGAATGACCAAAAAGTCCCACAGAGATCCATAGCTTTCTGGGATTAGCTGGATATTACAAAAGGTTTATCCAAGGATTTTTTTATAGCTGCTCCATTGACAACGTTGACCCGAAAAGGAGCTACTTATACATGGAGTGAGAAGCACGGAGAAGCATTGAAGAAACTAAAGAAAAAGCTATGTGAAGCACTGATTCTTTCTCTACCCGATGGAGTTGAAGACGTCACAGTGTATAGCGATGCGTCGTGAGTCAGGTTAGGATGTGTTCTAACTCAAAGAAAAAAAGTGATAGAATATGCATCTTGACAATTGAAAGAGCACGAAAAGAACTACCCCACTCATGATCTGGACTTGGTAGAAATAGTTTTTGCTCTAAAGATATGGAGGCATTACCTCTATGACATGAAGTTCAAACGTTTCACTGGTCATAAGAGTCTCCAGTATCTCCTTAATCGGAAGGAATTGAATAGGATGCAATGATGCTGGCTGGAATTACTCAAGGACTACGACTGCGAGATACTTTACCACCCCGGTAAAGCGAATATCATCGTCGTTGATCTAAGTTGAAAAGTTAATCTTGAAAGAAAAAGTCCAAGAGCGTTGAGAATAGAAGTTGTCTCAACGATTGTAGAAAGTATCAAGAAAGATCAAGAAGAAGCTTTAGAAAAGAATGACCGGAAATAATTACGTTTGGGCAAAATGTTATTGTTCGGTACAAACTGTCAAGGATTGAAGGTGTTCCAAGATAGAATTTAGGTACTTAAAATGGGAGGAATAAGATATATTCTAATGGAAGAAGCTCACAAGACCATGTACTCGATTTATCCCAGTAACACTAAGATGTATAGGGACCTAAAACCGTACTACTGGTAGCCGACGATGAAGCTTGATGTTGCAAAGTACGTGGCCGAGTGCGTGACTTGTGCAATAGTCAAGGCACAACATCAAAAACCATATGGGAGTTTAGAACCTTTACCTGTACCCATGGGTAAATAGGAAGACATCACGACATGATTTAGGTAGATGTGGATCGATTCACCAAGTGTGCAAACTTCATAGCAGCCAACGAGAGGTGGTCTATGGATAAGCTCGCAAATGCTTACATGAAGGAAGTTGTAAGACTTCATGGTGTTCCTCTAACGATTGTATCAGATCATGATAGTCATTTCATGTTAAGGTTTTAGAGAAGTCTACAAGAGGAATTGGGTATGAAGTTTTGTTTAAGTACAACTTACCATCCACAAATTGATGGTCAAAGCTAAAGAACGATGCAAACACTCGAATATATGTTGTTAGCATGTACCCTAGAGTTCCAAGGAAATTAGGATGAGCACTTACCTTTGGTAGAGTTTTTCTACAATAATAGTTTTCACTCGAGGATCAAGATGGCACCCTATCAAGCTTTGTACTGACATAAGTATCATACCCCGTCTTGTTGGCTTGAGGTTGGGGAAAAGAAGTCTATGGGCCCTGAGATTGTCCATGAGTCTATTGAGAAGTTAAAGGTAATCAGGGAAAGCATGTTAGAAGCTCAGGATTGTCAGAAGAGCTACGCTGATAAGAAAAGGCGACCGATGACATTCGAAGTTGGTGATTTGGTTTTGCTTAAACTCTTACCGTGGAAGGGACTTATAAAATTTAGGAAATGAGGAAATCTAAGTCCAAGGTTTATTGGACCATTTAAAGTTCTTCAGAAGATTAGGAACCAAGCTTACAAGCTCGAATTACCCAAAGAACTAGATTGTATTCATAACACCGTCCATGTGTGTTATTTGAGAAAATTCACGGGAGAAGTTCCCGACATTATTCCGATCTCAGAGTTAAGAATGGATGAGAATAAGAGGTTAATCGAAGAGCCCTAGGCAATCATTAACCGTAAGACTGAGAAGTTACAACGCAAGATGGTTGACTTAGTGCTAGTCTGTTGGAAACTTTCGAATGGGTCGAATCTCACTTGGGAAATAGAAAGTGAGATGATGAGTCGCTGCCCACATCTGTTGCTGATGTATGATTCCGAGACGGAATCATCCTAAGGAGGAGAGAATTGTAACATCCATGTTTTGGGGCTAAGCATTAGTACAATAATGTAATAGTCAGGTCAACCATTGTAACCTATTTTGACGTAATAAAGATGAATTAATTGAGTATTATGTGAATTTATGTGCTTTATACTTATTTATAATGAAATAATAAATAAAGGATAAAAATAATTGTCAAAAATAAAGTATTAGATAAACCCGATATCGATACATGAGGTGGTAGTGGTCGTGACAAGGATTCCAGACATAGAAAGAACACCGAAATCCGACAAAAAACGAAAAAGTTATGACATGCCGAAGTTTCACGACAAAACCGGCAAGACACTACGGAAGTAAATAGTAAATTTATGATAGAGCGAGTTTTAGCCTTAGCGATCTAAATGAAAGTCATAGTTTTCGTTAAACCGAGAGCGTACATAAAAAGAA